TGTACTTCCGATTTGATTTGAAACTGTCTCATTGCTATCTGTTTATCAATAAAACTGTAGAAAAAAAAAAAGAAGAGGTAGAGGAGAGGAGAAAGGTAGAAGGCACTGTGTAGGGACATTCAGCGTTTTGGATCGGATCTTGGAGGACAGGCTAGGAAAGGGATAAAAACAAAAAAAGGACAGAAAAGCAGCAGGTTGGGGACTGATGGCTCAGCAGAGGTGCAGACTCCCACCTCACCCGAATGCAGATTGCTCCAGCAACCCCAGGGAGCAGAGGGGCTGCCTAAAGCCACAGCTGGGTTTGGAAGAGGTGAAATGATTCACTGAAGGTCTCATACAGACTTTTGCTGTACCAGGGATTGAACTCAGGCCCTTGCCCTTGCCCTTGCCAGGGAAGCACATATTCCACTGAGCCATCTCCCCGGCCCCTCTCATACAGACTCTGAGATAGCGTTTTGGCTCCAAAAGTAGGCCTTTTTCTAATTTCCAACAGAAGCTTTGAGTCTGTCCTTAATAGGGTTCCCTGGGCTTCCTTTTCCTAATTTGTAAAAGTCACTGGGGCAGGTGGCATGGCTACAGGTTCCAAGTTGTTAGGTGACGCGTCCCTTGAGATAACTCACTCAACATCCCCAGCTGTTTCTGTTAAAGCACGTTCCATAAGATCAGATTCTAACGTGCTGATGCTAATGTGTGGCCCAGTTTTGGGGCGCTCTGGTACCTTCATCATACCCGTTTATGGCCAGAAAGTTCGGCTCTCGTGGGCAGCCGTGGTTAGCACTAGCACATGCTGCATCAAACAGGTCCCTGACCAGTACCTCAGCTTGCTGCTTCGATTCATTGTAAAGGATCCAACACCACCTCCAAACAAAGCTGAGAGTTGTAAAAATCAGAAACAACCCCCGCCACACACACACACACACACACGCTTAATCGATAAAACAGTGTAGAAAATGACAATCAACCCAAGAAGGCGCAGCAAAGCCTGGGATGGCCAGGGCTGTGTGCCAACACCGAGTAGTTGTTGGCACAGAGCAGGACCCCTCCAGCGGAACGGCTGCCGAGGCACTGAAGAAAATCATTGCCTCCTGGGATACACCGGCTTCTTTGAATTTTCTGCTTTTTAATAGAATGGTTGGGAACCACAAAAGATCTATAATCCACCAGTAATTAAAAAGCCAGAGAAGCTGAGCTGGAGTTCAATTCTCAACTGTACTCTCTGGTTTGCCACTAGGGATGATGCATTTCTTTGGGGCAGGAGACTGGAAACTTTTTAACTGGCAGTGAGCTTATTTATGTTTCATCGCTACCATTCCATCCTTTCCTATTCGATCAGAATTTACACCGAGAGCCTTCCGGGAGGACAAGGCCTAGCGTCCCCCGGGACTCTGTCCCGGGACGCCCCCACTTCCGCCTCCCGGCGCGCGCAGCCTGCAGCCCGGAGCAGCGCGCTCCCCGGCTCGGGGCGGTGCGGGGCGGCCCGGCGGAGG